GCTCTAGTTCTTCCCCTGAAAACAGGTTTCCAGTCCATTGTCTTTCATTGTTCTTGACTTCATCTGATCACAGCTCTCATAAAGTATCAGAAATAGTGCCTTCCTTATGCAGTAAGCAGCATTCCCTAGCCACTTCTTTCCCACAAAAAATGTACAGTCCCAAAGATTATTGTAAGTCTAAAAGTAGTTTCGGCTTTTTAAATAATACAAACTGGCAGAACTGTCAAAAGCATAACAGTATAAAAAATAAGGTTTTAAAAACAGCACTGTATCTGATACCAAACAGCTACATATTCCAGTTACTACATCTAATTTTTAGCAACACATCCCTAGTTTGACAATTATATTCCAGAATTTTAGTTTCTTGGCCAACACTCTAGTTTCTATTTTGTTGGGAGCCAGCCTTGGAGGCCCGCCTGATTGACAAAGTCCAGGTGCGCTGAGGAACCCCTGGCCGCAAAGCGAGTCCGGGCAGCTGAGGTCCTTCTATCTTTCATCCTTGCTGTCGGTATGGCTGAAGAAATTCTATGCAGTCGTGGAAGAAGAAAATGGCATGTTTATGTGAAGTACTCACAGTTAACCTGAGAATGTCATGGTTCATTTTTTCATTTTCCCACTATGCCGCTTGGCCTTTTCTAACATCTGCAAGGGTTAAACTCTGAAGCACATCAAGAATGCTTTATTTCACTTGGTTATAAGTTACTAGATATTGCTTAAGTAATAAATGGTATAAGTATACTCACTCCTTATTTGATTTAAAATTATGTAGTTTAGTGTTTAGACATAAGGTTTTTTAGAAGCACAAGTTTATAGTAAGTTCATTATGAATTCATTATAAGTTCTAAAACTTATATAGGAGTTATGTGGGTGATTTATAACACTGTTTTCACTGACTTAGGATAAAGATTAATCGTTAAGGTTTTTACTTAATTCAATAGTTAAAACTCTAAGTTAACATTTATAGAGTGGGTTTTCACTGAACTCATAATATACTAATCAGACACTTTTATGATAACTTAGCTAAAGACAGAAAGCAACCTTGGGGGCCTGGGAAACATTACTAAAAGCTTCTTTTGAGTTTTCTTTAGAAACAAGCACTGCAGGATAAGAGAAAAGTAACGAAGACATCTGGACAAGAAAGGCGATTACAGAACTCTGAAGGCCATAAAGCCCCAGAAGGAAGACTACCGCTAAACTTTCTGGAGACAGTTCAAGGACTGTAATTTGGGACTTTGGACTAAAACTATCATCTTTGGCCTTATGAATAAGACTCATTATCTGAATGTTTACAGGGTTCTTGGCTTATTTATTGCTAAGACCACTAGATGGTGGTAACTTGTAGAGGATATGTACGTGAAGGAATTTTCTTTGTCTTGCCCCTTTAAAAATGGTATAAAAGCTTTCCCTTAGCTAACATTAAATTGTCATCTGTTCAAGAAGCAGGTGTCCGGGTATAATGTTTTCGTCTTTCGCCTATCCATCTCTCCTTCAGGAGATCTCACGATCCTTGCGGGGCGGGACCCCCACACTATTTACTAAATCCACCATTTCTCCCAAAAAGACCAATTCCACAAGAGCCACTGACAGGTCATTTCAAAGGATGTTAAGGTCATGACCTTGATTTGGAATTTGCCATGATTTTGAGCATTAGCTTACCCTTGACCCTCAAAGCCATCTCTCAAATGTAATTTCTACCAGTTGGAGAGAAAACAGTTACACATTTATTTATTTATTTTGAGTTGGAGTCTCACTCTGTCGCCCAGACTGGAGTGCAGTGGCTGCTCCCGGCCATCGCAGCCTCGACCTGCTGGGCTCTGGCGATCCTTCCACCTCAGGCTTCCAAGCAGCTGGAACTACAGGTACACGCTACCACGCCCGGCTAATTTTTTTGAATTATTGTATAGATGAGGTCTCGCCAAGTTGTCCAGGCGGGTCTCAAACCCATGGGCTCAGGCAATCCACTCACCTCAGCCTCCCAAAGCGCGGGATTACAGGCTGAGCCACTGAGCCCGGCTTAGTTACACATTTTAACTTTGTAGCTCAGCTAATTCATTTCTGAATTCATCTTTACATAACACTGTGTCAAATGAAGTAGAAAGCAACATGGCACATTAGTACTTTCTGCTTTCTTGACTACACTGGTGGGTCTGATTTCCAGGAATGATCGCCCTTTCCCAGGAAATATTTGCAAATGCCTGAAGATACTTTCTATCGTCACATCTGGAGTGGGGCAACTGGTATCTAGTGGGTAAGGGACAGGGATGCTGCAAAACATCCTACAGTGCATAAGACAGCATCAAACAACAAAGGATCATCTGATCCACAATGTCAATAGAATGGAAAAAGCTACACATAAAAACATCAAACAAAAGAAAGCAAATTTATCTATATTAAAATCAGACAAAGTAGACCTCAGAGAAAAATAAAATTATCAGGGGAAAACAGAGAAGTTACATTAAAAAAAAATGTCAGACTGCAACATTTTCCATTACTTCTGCTTGAGACTGTCAGCCTGCAGCAATCCTGGAAAAGAGACAGCTTCTACCAAACACACCAATATATCTTTGTAATAATGTTCATTAGAAACCTGTAGCTGCTTCCAGAAACTGGCAATGTGAAGTTTTCAGAAATATTCTCAGCTCACTAACCACACGTGGTCATTGTCAATACTGGTGAACTGTTAAGTCGCAGTTCTTTGAGATGTTATCTCAGAGACCAGCTGGCTCTTTCCTCCTTAGATACAGACATAGCCACGTCTACCTATCTGCAGTTTTGCTTTCCATGGTTTATATTACCCATGGCGACTGCAGTCCAAAAACATTAAACATTAAATATTTCCAAAAGAAACAACTCATAAGTTTTTAATTGTGCAGCATACTCATGTGATGAAATCTCATGTTGATCTGTCCTAGACAGATGTAAATCATGCCCTTATCCAATGTATCCATACTGTATATGCTAGTCATTTATTCGCATGTTAGTCATTTAGTAGCATCTCAGTTACCAGATTGACTGTTGCAGGACTGCAGTGCTTGTATTCAAGTAATCCTTATTTTACCTAATAATAGTTGTAAGGTACACAAGTAGTGATGCTAGTAACTTGGATATGTGAAAGACAGGTTGTAAGCCAGGCATGGTGGTACATGCCTGTAATCCCAGCTACTCAGGAAGCCAAAGTGGGAGGATTGCTTGAGACTAGGAGTTTGAGACCAGCTGGGCAACATAAAACCTCATCTCTAAAAAATGAAAATTAAAAAAAAAAAAAAAGAACGGGCACACACCTGCAATCTCAACTATTTGGAAGGCTGCATTGTACTACGATTCATCTGTGACTAGCCACTGCACTCCAGGCTGGGCAACACAGCAAGACTTCATCTCTTAAAAAAAAAAAAAAAAGAAGAGGACAGAGTGACTGTCAGTTGCTTCCCTTAAATGAAAGGCAACAGTTCTCAACTAAGAAAAAAACCCATATGCTGAGGCTGCTAAAATTTGCAATAAGAACAAATCTGTGAAAATGTGGGAAAAAAAGAAATTAGTGTTAGTTTTGCTATCACAATACATTATTCTCTGCCTGCACCCCATGCTGTTTAATTCACACAATATTGAATCTTAAAACTTAGTATCTTTTTTTTTTTTTTGAGTTGGAGTTTCACTCTGTCGCCCAGACTGCAGTGCAGTGGCCGCTCTCAGCCACTGCAGCCTCGACCTGCTGGGCTCCGGCGATCCTTCCGCCTCAGCCTTCCAAGTAGCTGGAATTACAGGCATGCGCTACCACGCCCGGCTGATTTTTTTATTTATTGTAGAGATGAGGTCTCGCTGCACAGGCGGGTCTCGAACCCACGGGCTCAGGCAATCCACTCACCTCAGCCTCCCAAAGGCGCGGGATTACAGGCTGAGCCACTGAGCCCGGCTAAAACTTAGTATCTTTAATCTTCCAGGGGATACACACACATGAAGAAATCACACCTACTGCCCTTTCATTGATAAATGTTGAGACCACAATGAGGTATGTAAGGAAGGTATAATATCAACAGACTTCAAATTTTAGGACAAAAATCACAAGTAGTAAAGTAGCCTTTTTAAGAAACTGCAAATTGAATACAATATTTTATAGTCTGGAATAACTGGCCATTTCCACACAAGCTCTTGCTTCTTTGATGTATATAATGTCGTGAGTTTTCATTTATTTTGACTTGGAGTTATTCTGCAGATGTAACATTTCAGGCCAATCTTGGAAAAGCAGACTTAGTTATCCCTCATATGATCTCTGATATGTAGTCTGTTGTGAGAATTGGTTTCTCTCCAGTATGCAATATCTGAACATTGACTAGGATTGAACACACTTTAAGGGCTTTGCCACTCTCATTATTTGTAAGATTTCTCTTCAGTATGAATACTCCAATGACATGGTAGGGGTGAGTGATGATGGAAGATTTTGTCACATGAAATCTACCACATTCATTACATTTTTAAGGTTTCTCTACAGCATGAATAATTGGGTGAAGCCTGAAGACACACTGTTGCTTAGAGGCCTTTCCATGTTCAGCACAGTTGTTATGACTTATCTCCTGTATACATTCTCCCAAAACCCAAAGGTGTGAACGCTGATTTAAAAAAAAACAAAACAACAACAAAAACATCTTTTCACACTTACTACTTTTGTAAGGATTTTCTCCAATATGAACATTCTGATGTTTCAGTCTTGATCTCTAGGTAAAAGCCTTAGCACACACAATACTTGTGTGATCTCTCTCAAAGACATACATTCTGATGTCCAGTGAGTTGTGATGCCTGATAAAAGCTATTGGCACACACAGTTATACAACTTCTCCTAGGTGTTAACTCCAAGAAATGATAGAATGGTGATAACGGTTTTGCCACACTCACTTTATTTGTAAAGCATCTCCACTTTCAATTATCTGAAGATTCACAAGTTTTGACCTTTGAGTAAATGCTTACCACACGTATTACATGCCTATGGTTCCTCTCTAGGATGTATATTTTTACATCTGCTGAACACTAGTTTGAAACTATGCGGTGTGCACTGCATATGTAAGTATCATTTGGCGAGCGAAGCAGTCACAACAATGTCTAAAGGCCTTGCCACATTCAGTGTATTTGTAAGGTTCTTTCCAGTATGTTTTGTCTGGTGTTTAGTAAGTCCTGAGCGACTAATAAAAGATTTGCCACACTCATTACATTTATAAGGTTTTTCTCCAGAATGAATTCTTTGGTGCCTGTTGAGGCAAGACCACTGCCCAAAGGCCTTGCCACATTCAGTACACTTGTATGGCTTCTCTCCAGTATGACATCTCTGATGGTATACAAGCTTTGACCTTTGGATAAAAGTTTTACCACATTCATTACATTTATAAGGTTTCTCTCCAGTATGCACTACCTGATGATTAACTAGGATTGAGCGCACTCTAAAGGCTTTGCCACACTCATTACATTTGTAAGGTTTCTCTCCAGTATGAATACTCCGATGACGTGCTAGTGGCGAGCGATGACGGAACACCTTGCCACATTCATTACATTTGTAAGGTTTCTCTCCAGTATGAATTCTCCGGTGACTTGCAAGGTTAGAAGCAGAATTGAAGACCCTGCTACATTCAACACATTTGTATGGCATCTCTCCAGTATGTCTTCTCTGATGGTACACCAAGCTTGCCCTATGTATAAAAGCTTTAGCACATTCACTACATTTGTGTGGTTTCTCCCCTGTAGGATTTCTGTGATATCTTACAAGTTTAGAACTTTGGATAAAAGCCTTGCCAAATTCATTACAATTGGAAGGTTCTGCTCCAATATGAATTATCTGATGTTTGCTGAGGCTTGAACGCTCACTATATGCTTTGCCACACTCATTACACTTGTAAGGTTTCTCTCCAGTATGACTTCTACGGTGTCGTGCCAGGCACGAGTAGTAACTGAAGACCTTGCCACATTCATTACATTTAAAAGGTTTCTCTCCAGTATGAATTCTCCTATGAATCGAAAGGTTTGCACTGTAACTGAAGACCTTGCCACACTCATTACATTTGTAAGGTTTCTCCCCAGTATGAATTCTTAGATGTCTTACAAGTCGTGAACTTTCACTGAACACCTTGTCACATACATCACATTTATATGGTTTCTCTCTGACATGGATTATCTGATGTCTAGAGAGAAGTGACCACCAATTAAAAGCTTTGCCACATTCATTGCATTTGTAAGGTTTTTCTTCTCCGGTATGAATTCCCCGATGGCGTGCTAGGGATGAGTTGTGACTAAAGACCTTGCCACATTCATGACATTTGTAACGTTTCTCTCTGGTATGAATTATCTGATGTCTAGTGAGTAATGAGCCCATGTTAAAGGCTTTGCCACACTCATTACATTTGTAAGGTTTCTCTCCAGTGTGAATTCTCCGATGTCTTGCAAGATATGAATTTTGACTGAAGACCTTGTCACATTCATTACACTTGTATGGTTTCTCTCCAGTGTGAATTCTCCGATGCTTTGCAAGATGTGAGGCTTGACTAAAGACCTTAGCACACACATCACATTTAAATGGTTTCTTTCCTGTATGGATTATCTGATGTGTAGTGAGGTATGAGCCCCGTCGAAAGGCTTTGCCACACTCATTACATTTGTAAGGTTTCTCTCCAGTATGAATTCTCTGATGAATTACAAGGCTGGAACTTTGAATAAAGGACTTGCCACATTCATTACATTTGTATGGTTTCTCTCCAGTATGAATTCTCCAGTGATTTACAAGATTTGAATTTTGACTAAAGGCCTTGTCACATACATCACATTGATATGGTTTCTCTCCTGTATGGATTATCTGATGTACAGTGAGGAGTGAGGCCCGATGAAAAGCTTTGCCACACTCATTGCATTTGTAAGGTTTCTCTGTAGTATGGATTACCTGATGGTTGGTAAGGCTTGAAGACACTCTAAAGGTCTTCCCACATTCATTACATTTATAAGGTTTTTCCCTAATGCATGCTTTCTGGTCTTGTCTGAGTAACAAGGGATGCAAAGCATTCCCATATTTCCTAGAAACGTTAGTTTGGACACTAGGAAGCAATCCTTGAAGTGGTAAAATCGAGGAACCATTGTTAATTGTCTTCTCAATTTGATTACATTCATACATTTTCCCTTCAGTTTGAAATTTCTGCAGTTCAGCCAGATGTGACTGAAAGCTTAATCTAAGTTGATTTCCAATAGGCTTATTTTCTGCATCCCCTTGATAATGTCGATTTCTTTTGTGAGGGAGATTGTTTTGATGAGTCACAGGCACTCCTTTGTAATTTCTTTCACTATTTCTCCATTGAAACTCAAAATCATGTATATTTTTCTGGGTTTTCCTGAAGTAAAAATTTTCAGTGTCATGGCTTTCATGTCTTTCCAACATCACTGTCTGGAATGTTTCTACTGCATCTCTGTTCTCTATTGTTGGTAATTCTTTGATCACACATTTAGGAGAGATATCTATACAAGATACAATAAACATGGATTTTTAAATTAATTACAATTGGCAAATAAATATTTATACTAGATGGCAATAAAATTTTCTACCATAATCTGCCATTTTTCGGAATATGGAAGGAACAAAATTGAAGAAAGAGTGACTACATGTTCTTCAAATCAATTTTAGGAAAGTCTAGCTTCAAACACCCCATGACCAAAACACTTATGTTGGGCAAACATATATTAGTACTAAAAGTGTTTTTCCACCATGATCCCAAAGCACATACCAATTGGCAGTAAACAGGGCTCCCTCATATTTGAAGAGAAAAAAGTCATATTTACTTCATATTTATTGTATGCAAATATATGCCAAACCACAGTAAGATATACTATAATGGTAAATATCTACAGCAAATGTGTCTAATAAATAATCCATGTAAATGGCAAATTAAAATTGCAAACCAAAAATAGCACTAAAAAAAATAAGGAAGAATTTGTTTAAAGTTATAAAAACTCAAAACTTTCTGAATGCCTGTTATACAGCTATCTATACCCATGCAGAATAGGCATGTGAATATGAACAAGTGGTGCAGGTCACCTATACTGCATAATACATACTGAAAAACCATTATCTGGAAATCATAATAAAAATTAATAAACATTCTAAGAACCTGTGATAATACCAGCAGGTTAGCAATTAGTATCCATAATATACAAATGTATGGTATGGCATGGTATAATATGGTATTCTCTCTCTCTTTTTTTTTTGAGTTGGAGTCTCACTCAGTGGCACAGACTGGAGTGCAGTGGCTGCTCCCAGCCACCGCAGCCTCGACCTGCTGGGCTCCGGCGATCCTTTTGCCTCAGCCTTCCAAGTAGCTGGAACTACAGGCACGCGCTACCACGCCCGGCTAAATTTTTTTTTTTTTTGAGCTGTAGTCTCCTTCTGTCGCCCAGACTGGAGTGCAGTGGCCGCTCTTGGTCACAGCAGCCTCAACCTGCTAGGCTCCGGTGATCCTTCTGCCTCAGCCTTCCAAGTAGCCGGAATTACAGGCGCACGCTACCACGCCCGGCTAATTTTTTGATTTTATTGTAGAGATGAGGTCTCGCCTGCCCAGGCGGGTCTCGAACCCGCGGGCTCAGGCAATCCACTCACCTCAGTCTCCCAAAGGTGCGGGATTACAGGCTGAGCCACCAAGTCTGGCTTAATTTTTTGATTTATTGTAGAGAAGAGGTCTCACCAAGTTGCCCAGGTGGGTCTTGAAGCCACGGGCTCAGGTAATCCACTCACCTCAGCCTCCCAAAGCACAGGATTACAGGCTGAGCCACCGAGCCCGGCTTGGTGTTCTCTCTTATGCATGAATTAATATTACACAAGCAGCATATAGTATGAAAACTGGAAAATATGTCAAAATCTCTGACTTTTTAAAGTAAAAGTAAGGTAAACACATAACATTATAGAGAATAAAAATTGGGGAAGGAGGCCAGGCTCAGTGGCTCAGCCTATAATTCCAGTACTTTGGGAGCCTGTGGGTTAGCAACCAGCCCAGCCAACCTGAGACCTCATCTGTACAAGAAATAAAAATGAAAACTTAGCTGGGCGTGGTAGCGCACGCCTGTAGTTCCAGCTACTTGGAAGGCTGAGGCGATTGCCGGAGCCCAGCAGGTTGAGGCTGCGGTGGCCGAGAGGTGTCCTACTGCCCTCCAGTCTGGGTGACAGTGAGACTCCAACTCAAAAAAAAAAAATTGGGGAAGGAAATGAGAGATCACAATTATGATTTCATGCCTGCAGTTATGTAACAATCAAGAGAGCAACTCCCTATTTATGCCTCACCTTTCATTATCCAGTTCACTGGCCATAAAGTATACATGACACAGAGATTGTACTTGGAAAATTTATCAATTAAGGTTAAAGACAATTCTGTTTGAAACAGACTGCAAAGTAAACATAAGATACAATGCAGGCTGCTATGGTCTAAGTATTTGTGTCCGCCAAAATCTATAAGTTGAGGACCTAATCCTCAATGTGATGGTATTTGGATGTCTGGTCTTTGAAAGGCAATTAGGTCATGAGGGTGGGGTGAATTTCAGGAGTGCAATTAGAAGAGACATGAAAGAGTCTGTTTATTCTCAATCTTTCTGCCATATGAGGACACTGAAAGAAAACAGCCAGGAGAAACAGAAAGAGGGCTCATACAACAAACAAACAAAACTGGCTGGCATCTAGATGTTAGACTTCCCAGTATCCAGATCTATGAAAAATAAATTTCTGTTATTTAAGCCACCCAACTATGTCATCTGTTATGGCAAGCAGAGCTAAGATCCAGTCAATGGACCATCTCATCATCAACATGATAGAATGCTGATATACCTTATTAAACTAAGAAATGTTTGAGTCCTTACTGTAAAACATATACTGTTCTAAGCTAGTTAACAGCACTAACGTCTTAAAAGCCCTGACATAAATCATCACTATTTTACAAAGACAGTAGGTCCACAGGATTCATGTATGACTTAATTTACACTGAAAGTAAGAGAAACAGAATATGAACCTGGGCTTGCAGGATCAAGCAACATGTGCTTACATACAACTGCCCAAGCAGGCAGCACAGATAACAACAGGTCACACCAAATACTAAGAGCTTAGAAACAAATACTTCAAAATCCAAACCGTGCTGCCAAAAATGTTATTCAGCCATCCCTCATAAGTAATGGTACATGCCATCACCTCCTGCACATATTAATTTAGGCAGTGTTCTGGGAAAGTTGTCAAGTGAATGAGTAAGTGTCATTCCCCACACAGTGAGAAGAATGTAGGTGAGGCGGTCCTGAAAAACAGGGGTGGGTAGGAGTATCAAATTAATATGCTGTTAAGTAACCGTATAGTCTACCCAGATCAAGGTACTATGTTAAAAAAGGCCAGGCTGGAAAAAAAAGCAAGAGGGAAGGGCAAGGAGTAATGGGCATGTGAGAGCAAATTTTGTGTTTGCTTAGTTGTGGGAACATAATTGTACAGGGAATACTTAAAACTATGACTCCTGGCTGGGCTCAGTGGCTCAGTTTGTAATCCCAGTGCTTTGGGAGGCCAAGGTGAGTGGATTGCCTGAGCTTGCGGGTTCGAGATCCATCTGGGCAACTTGGCGAGACCTCCTCTCTACAACAAATCAAAAATTAGCTGGGCGTGGTAGCACACGCCTGTATTTCCAGCTACTCAGAAGGCTGAGGCAGAAGGATCGCCAGAGTTCAGCAAGTCAAGGCTGCAGTGGTCGAGAGCGGCCACTGCACTCCAGTCTGGGTGACAGAGTGAGACTCCAACTCAACAACAATAAAAAAATTATGACTCTTGAAGAAAATAGGAACTGCTTTAGAAGTAACATCATACTGACCCATGCTTAAATATGGGAATTATACTATGGGTGTGGGACAACACAACAAGAGAATGGATTTAAGAAGCAGGCAGAGTGATGACCTGGAAAGAAAGTAGGTTTGCATCTCTTATGACATGTGCTATGAAATTTATCAAATGGAATTTTCTGTGAGTTTTATTTCCAGGCATATACTCAAGAGAATCCCATGTATGTATTTTAAGAGATATGTGAAAGAACGTTCTTAGAGTACAATACTGAAGCAAAAACTTGAAAATTGCCATGAAGTGGAGATGGATGAGTTCATTTTGTATATACATATAGAGATACAATAAAACCTTATTGACAGTACAGCAATGTAAGGAGATTTGGGGTAAAGAATAAAGACCCCTGGCATAATAGGCAGCTATGTATTTGAGGAAACAAAGAAAGAAAAAGTCTAAGTTTACTGACAAAGTCTAAGTTTATATTAATGGAAACATAGTATATATGGAAGTAATCTGTAACATCAAGAACATAAAATTGGAGCAGGTCTATAAAGGAGTAGCTTTTGCATGTGATTGAAGTTGTTATTAGTTTAAAATAAAATATTAAGAGAGTAGTTTCTGTATGTGATTGAAGTTATCAGTTTCAAATAAAATATAAAGTTAAAATGTTTTATGTAATTGCAATGGTAACCACAAAAAAATCTATAAAATACACACACACACAATGGAAATCAAATCATGTCAGCATAGAAAAAAAAAAAACCAAATTAAAAAGACAGTAAGAGAACTGAGGGGGAAAAAAATCTAGAAGAGATATAGAAATCATTTAACAAAACGTCAATCATAACTCTTCCCTAACCGTAATTACTTCAAATGTAAACGGTTTAAATTCCACAACCAAAGAAACAAATTGGCTGAATAAATGAAAAAAGAAGCTGGGCTCGGTGGCTCAGCCTGTAATCCCACGCTTTGGGAGGCTGAGGTGAGTGGATTGCCTGAGCCCGCGGGTTCGAGACCCGCATGGGCAATTTGGCGAGACCTCATCTCTACAATAAATCAAAAAATTAGCCGGACGTGGTAGCGCATGCCTGTAGTTCCAGCTACTTGGAAGGCTGAGGGGGAAGGATCACCGGAGCCCAGCAGGTCGAGGCTGTGGTGGCCGGGAGTGGCCACTGCACTCCAGTCTGGGTGACAGAGTGAGACTCCAACTCAAAAAAAATGAAAAAAGAGGGCCGAACTACATGCTATCCACAAAAGACCTAATTGAACTCTAAAATCACACACAGGCTAAATTGAAAGGATGTCAAAAGATATACCCCGTAAAAGGTAACAAAAAGAGATCAGAGATGGCTAAAATAGAATGAGTCAAAATATACTTTAAAAACTGGTGCAAAAGACAAAGAAAGACATTATATGATGATTAAAGCATTAATTCACTAGGAACATATAACAATTATGAATATATATGCACCTCAATAATATGAAGCAAAATTAGCAGAACTAGAGGGAGAAACAGTTCCACAATAATAACAGGAGACTTCAATGGCCCATTTTCACTTATGGATAGAACAATCAAACAGAAGAAAAATTAAACAAACAAACCAAAAAAGGACTTAAACACCACTATAAATCAATTGGACATAGCTTTTATGTACAAAAACAGCAGGATATAAATTTTCCCAATTCACAAGGAATATTCTCCAGGACAAACACTGGAAAAGAAAAAGCAAGTTTAAAAAATTTTTTAAATAGAAATCATATAAAGTAACTTTACCAGCCTGGCACGGTGGTTCAGTCTGTAATCCCAGCACTTTGGGAGGCCAAAGCGAGAGGATTGCCTGAACCTGGGGGTTTGAGACCAGCCTGGACAATTTGGTGAGACCTCGTCTCTCTAATAAATTATAAAAACTAGCCAGATGTGGTAGCGTGTGCCTACAGTTCCAGCAACTTGGAAGGCTGAGATGGAAGGATTGCCTAGGCCCAGCAGGTCAAGGCCAAGGTGGCTGTGAGTGTGCCACTGCACTCCAGCCTGGGTGACAAGAGTGAGACTCCAACTCCAAAATAAATAAATAAATAAAGTAACTTTCCCCATCATAATGGAAGAAAACTAAAGGTCAATAGTAGATTAGAAAATCAACAAATATGTAAAAATTAACAACACACAGCAACCAATGTCTTAAACAACGAATGTTATCACGTTAGAAATCACAAGGAAAATTAGAATATATATCCTGAAACAAAAAAATGAAAACAAAACATACCAAAACTTATGAATTCAGAGAAAAGTGTTAAAATAAAAAAAATTATGGGTATAAATGCTACATTAAAATAGAAGATCTCATCTGAACAAACTAACTTTACAACTGAATGAAGCAGAAAAGGAACTAAACTCAAAAACCACATAAGAAAATAATAAAGAGCCGGGCTCGGTGGCTCAGCCTGTAATCCTGCAGCTTTGGGAGGCTGAGGTGAGTGGATTGCCTGAGGCTGCGAGATCGAGACCCGCCTGGGCAGCGAAACTTCATCTCTACAATAAATTAAAAAAAAAAAAAAA